GCTTGGCTGCCATGTTCCCGTCTTGTTACTCCAAACCTGCGGACAGCGGCAGTAAGAGGAGCTCCATCGCTAAGCTGCTGCTCGGGGTGTTTGTGGTTTACATGCTCCACACCGCCTGGCTGTTGTACGGTTTCCTAAACACCAAATCCTGCGATGGAGGCAGAGAAGAGCACTGCATCACCTCCTATCTGGCAGCCAGACCCAGACTACAGGTTAGAGCTTGTCTTATTCCTGATGGCAAATCTCTGAGATCCAGATCCATAGATTTGATCATTTACACGAGAGTAACAGTAAGAAAAATCTGTCCATGTGCTGCTCAGCAAGAAGCTCTTATTACTAAAGTGTACTGTCTACATGGTAGTTAGAGAAAAATATGATAAATTTTCATTTGTCATTTAGGTTTGTGTCGTTTTTGTGCACATCTACTTTAAAACTATGGCATTTTCATGAATTCTCTTCATGAAAATATGGATAAATCGTTTTGTTTGCAGGTGTTTACTTTGTGAAATCTGTAAAAAAGACACACATTTGAAGCACAGTCAGGATTATCTCATCGCTCCAGCTTAGATTTCTGCAGCAGCATCCCTTTCATTTTGAAACGAATCTCAAACTAAGATGGAAACCTTGTTTTTAACATCTCGTCTTCTCCTTTATTCAGATGAGTGTTTTTACCTGTCTCGTGCCAGACAACAGCCCCCTTGAGCTCGCTGTAAAAATAGACCCGTTCGACCCTCACTCGAGATTTGAGAGGTGGGTTTGACACTTTGATAACTGCACAGGAGCAGACCAACAATCTGAAAAATTATTTGTTTATTTTTTAACATAATGGTAGCAGCATTGCAGTTATTGCAACATAAATCTTTAGTCATATAAATATATAGTCATCAAAAGACTTTACCAACCACTGATCATAGTGACAGTCTCAGTATGCTGCAAGTACTCAGTAATGATTAGCATATTTGATTGTTTATGAAGGCCTAAAACACGCAGTTTCTATTTTTATGCCTATTTCTCTCTCCACAGAAGGGTGCATGTCTCTCTGCCAGGAGAGACTCGGGCTAATGGCACCCTCTTTGCAGTTGTTTATGTGCACAAGGCTGGCGTTTCACCTTTGGAGGACAGCAGAGAGGTCCACTATGCAGTCCAACTCACCACCTACATCACCCCCTCACGCACCGACGTCCAGAAAGACAAGGAGAAGGTACATCATCACTCAGGACTGCTTCATATTTCACCCAGCATGTTGCCTTTACACACATTCTATATAATGTGGCCTTTTTATGGGGCCCAGCTGCCTTGCACAGTGCATTATTTATTTATTTTTTTGGTTCCACCCAGAAGCCGAGACCTGAGAACCCTGTATCCCACTGGAGACCCCACCTGTCACTCACTGTCATGTCAGAGGACTTCACCTTCACGAAGGCTGGGCTTCCCAGTGACGTGCGCCGCTACATGAGAGTGTAAGTCAGATGAAGCTTTGGAGGTCAAAGCCAGGTGAGCTGTCAGCGTGCTGCTGACTTCTGCTGTTTTGCTGCTGCAGTGGCACCGAAAGGCTGAGAGGAACAGATACTTCTGACAGAAAATCAAACACACTCTGGTGTTTTGTTGCAGGTGCTGTATTATTATTATTATTCAAAGGGCGCAATATATATTGAAAAACATCTAGAAGAAAGTCCGCTTTAGAAACAGTGTCTGGTGCAGTAAAAGTATCATCACAAGGGTACATATATAAATAGCCCTTTGTCACTGCTCGCTAGCCAAACAATTCTTTAGTCTTTAGTAGATATTAATTTATATTAATTAAAGAAAAATAATGCAAATGGGAAAAAAGTTCTCTTATCTGTAAAAGATGATCCTCTAGATCTGGATCACAAGTTACAAACAGCCACTGGTAGACTGTAATCTCTCAGCAGGCTGGAATTTAAAGGCAAAGTAA